GGCAGGTGAGTTTGGTCGGAAGAATTCCAGCTCAAAATACTTCGCAGACGGTGTCGCTTGGGCACCAAATGCTACTGTGGGATATTAGCCGCGATTCAGCCCTCAGTCTCAATGGATAATGGTGTCTGATACGGAGCCTCGCGGAAACGTACCAGATAACAATCCTCTCTTTGTGATAGCTGGTTTTGAGAGAGGGCATGGAACAGGTGTTGCAATTATTACCATTTGTCGCTCGACCAGCCGTTGATACACCCATTTCGGGTATTCAACACAGGCTAAAGGCAGCTATGTACCTGTGTTCAAGTTGAAAATTGATTGTTCCACTCCCCTACACTGTGAATCGTCGCGTTTGACCTCGCCAACGTGTGAAGACCTCAAAATGGACCAAATTTATTTGTGACCTCGTGCGATGAGCTGGGCCGGCAGTGGAGGGTAGTAGGCTTCCGTAGGAGTGACTTATATGGCAACAGGGGTTTTTTGGCATCATTGGCACGTCTCAGACACGTTATAAGTGCGGCGGATGCGTCCAATGTTTGGTCGCGAGTGGTTAGCACGTGACGAGTTCGGAGTTTAAAACCGAGCCATCGAGATCAAAAAGCAGACGTCAGATCAAGGAATATCTTGAGGCACGAAAGTTCAAGGGAATTGATCTACTCTGCCTCAGGGAGACTAGGTACATGATGATGTATGTGCAAAAAGCTGTGACTCCCTTGGCCAAAAACAAAGCGCGGACTTGTTGGCAACCGTACCACGCACTAGCCGGCCCTGCAGTCTCTCCAAAAGCAAGGGCTGCCACGGTATATTCGCCCCCCCCGTAAGACTGCGCTTTGGAAAGTGTTCACATGACGCGCGATCGACAATTGTTCGCGCCTTTGCTTTGACCTGCCCCACCCGCACTGCTCACAGCTTCATGCCCTCGGACTCTCCGTACGCCTATAAAGCCGCACCCAGACAACACAGCTCACCCCCGTCCCCCAACATGTCCTTCTCCGACTCACCCAATGCCCGCTCCAAATCGATCACCACCGCAGAGCTCGACACAAATGGCGTATGTCTCCCACATCTCTCGCCACAGCCCGCCCCTCATTCACCCCAGGTCCTCAACCGCCATGCAGCAAAGAACTCGGCGTACCAGGTCGGCGTGTCCGAAGACAAGGGCACCCGGCGCACCATGGAGGACGCACACTCGTTCGTCGTCGACTTTGGCGCCGTGCGCGGCCAGGGCTTCTTCGCCATCTTCGACGGCCACGCCGGCAAGCACGCCGCAGAATGGTGCGGCGCCCACTTCCACGAAGTACCTCATGATCTCCTCCTGTCCGTGCAGCCACTCATGCCCGCGCGATGTAGTATCTGCTCTCGTGCATGAAGCGTCGCAGCAACCTCCCCATCCCCGACATCCTCAACCAAACCTTCCACGACGTCGACGAGAGCCTCTCGCGCATGTGCGAGGAATCCGCCGGCAAGATACATTCGGGCTGCACCGCCGTGACCGCTTTCCTCCGCGTCGAGGACGCCGATGGCCACCAGTCCTTCCTCCCTGCGTCCCAGGACAGCGACAGCATCAGCAGCGCAGAGGGTGGCACACCTTCGGGCGACGAGGGAACCCCCAAGAAAAAGGCCCGCCGCTCCCTGACCGGCAGCCGCATCCGCAATGCGTTCAAGAGCCTCGCAAGTCCGACCTCCAGCTCCCCCGGCAGCTCCCGCTCCCAGTCCCCGTCATCTTCCGGCAAATTCACCGCCGACGGCGCAAGCATCGCCATCCCGCCCTCGGCCGCGCGACGAGTATTGTACAGCGCCAACGCAGGCGATGCACGGGGCGTCCTCTGCCGCGCAGGGAAAGCCGTGCGCTTGACTTACGACCACAAAGGGTCCGATAAGCAAGAGGCGAAACGGATCACAGACGCCGGTGGTTTCGTCGTGAGCGGACGCGTCAACGGCGTGTTGGCGGTCACCCGCAGCCTCGGCGACTCGTCGATGAAGGAGTTTGTCGTCGGCGCCCCGTACACCACGGAGACGGAGCTCTGCGATGACGACGAATTTCTGATCTTGGCCTGCGATGGGGTGAGTCGCATTCTTGAGCTCAATGCTCCTGGCTAACGCGGGCGTAGCTCTGGGACGTGGTCACTGACCAAGAAGCTGTCGACCTGATACGCGACACCGACGATGCGCAAGTGGCTAGCCATATGCTCCTAAAAGACGCGCTGGCGAAACACACGACGGACAACGTGACCGTGCTCGTCGTACGGTTCAAGAACGCGCGCAGTGCGTAGCGCGACTGTAACTCTGTAGTCTTTTTCTTTTTCACTTTTGGGAGTCTTGAGCTACCCTACGTAGTGTGTACAGCAATAATGTGATCGAATGCCAATCAATGAGTCGAGCGCCCTATTCTTTTTGGGTCTCGGTTGACCCGCGTTTTCTCCTCTTCTCCCATGTCTCAGTGGCAGCAGCAACAACAGGCCTACCCCCCGTATGGAGGAGCCCCAGGGCCAACGCCCCAATATGCACCGCAATATGCTGCACAGGGCCAATACGCACCCCCCTCTGAGCCGTTTTACAGCGACACCAAATCTCCGTACGAAAACGACCGGTTCAAACCCAAGAAGCGGGTAAACGACCCTATTGTGCTCGTGCTTTTTGTGCTACAAGTGGGTTGGTCTCGCTGCACCGCCTGATGCGTCGGCTTCATAATGCGCCCCTTGGCAGTTCCTCGGCTTCGCCGCGCTCTCTGGCATAGTCATATCTTCCTGGGTGAAGGACGGCGGGCTCGGCGGGGGCCTCGGGAAGAGCAAGACCGGGACCGCCGTCTCGCTCAACCAGAGCACGGTGTACCTCCTGCTGCTGGTCACCGCCGCCGCGCTTGTCCTGTCCACGATCTATCTCATGCTTGTCCGCGCCTTCACGAAAGTAATCATGCATATAACACTAATTCTCAGCATACTCCTAAATATGTGCGTCCCCTTCCATTTGGTTGTTCGTCACACCTAACATACAACCTGAAGCGCAATTTGTGGTACGCTTTATTTGCCGTCTCCTGCGCTCTTCTCAGCTGTTTTGTCAAGCCTACTACTGGGTGACAAAATACTATTCCGGCGCCATAATGCACGTTTTCACCTCGAGGCTCCTGATTTTGCGAACTAACACCGCCGCAGCTTCACCATCATCGCCCTCTTCTCGATTCTCAGCTACTATGGCTTCAGATCGCGCATCCCCCTCGCGTCGCTGCTTTTGCAGGTTGTAATGGATGTCAGCAAACACCACAAGTCCGTCTATGTCGTCGCGTTCGGCGCCCTCTTCCTTCAAGCGCTGCTCGCAATGTGCGTGTACTTGTCCTCAAATAGACTTCAGTCCTCACCCCACTGCAGCTGGTTTACCTTTGCCGCGATCGCAACGTAAGAACCCCTTCACTTCTTCGGCGAACACAGCTTATCAAGCTTCTTCAGCTACACCAAATGGACCCCCGGGAACCCTTGTTCGTTCTTGTACTCGTTCCGGCGGCTCTAAGCTCACTGATCCCAGCCTGCGACACCTCGTCCTGCTCCTCCGGCAAAGTCGCTGGCTTGATTTTCTTCGAGGTCTTCTCCTTCCTCTGGACCTCGCAGGTCATCGGGAACGTCGCACTCGCAACGCTCGCCGGAGGTGCGTCTTCTCCAATTGGTACCAGGCCATCGAGCTGAATTCGATGCAGGCCCGTATGGCTGCTGGTACTACTTTGGCCCAAGAGGGGAAGGCGACATGGTAATGCCCCTCGAACGTTCCGCGGCGCTCTTCGCTCACCGCGGCTTTGCACAGCCCAAGCACCCTACGCTATCGGCGCTCGGGCGCGCATCGACCCTGTCTCTGGGCTCTATCGCGTTCGGCTCGCTCATCGTCACCCTACTCGAGCTGCTCAAAATGGTTCTCCGCGCCGCGCAGAACTCGGCCGATGCCGACGGACACCGTACGCGTCCGTGGCTTCTTACTATGCTCGAGCTTACGAGTTTGCCATTCAGCGGTGGAAGCCTGTCTGGCGTGTTGCGCTGCATGCTTCGTGGGCATCATAGAAAACCTCGTGGAGTATTTCAATCGGTGCGCTCGCTGTCCATGTTTCGCGATTGAAGACTTATGCGTTTCAGTTACGCTTACATTGAGATTGGTCGGTATTGATCCTAGGCTGCACTCCTGATTATTAACATCATCTCTAGCTCTGTACGGCAAACCGTACATTACTGCCGCAAAGGACACATGGAGGCACGTTCATCACCGCCGTGTTTTCCGACTCTTACCCGTCACAGGCTCCTCCGAGACCGTGGCGTTTCGGCAATTGTCAACGACTCCCTGGTCGGAATGAGTGAGTTCTGGCACCCATCATACCGCGATTCTGAACTGGCACAGCGCTGACATGGGGCGGGTATGCCGTCGGCATGCTTTCCTCCCTCTTTGCGTACCTATATCTCCGCAGTACGCCTGTCTATTCTGTCGCATTGCGCGCCGGGGGCTAACCCCAACAGTCACCGCGCCGTCATACAACGCCGATGGAAACTACACCGCGCCGGTGCTACTCTTCGCCTTTCTCATCGGTCTCCAATGCTGTGAGCTCCTCATCCTAGCTGTCCTCTCCGCGACTGACATTGCGAACGAAGCATTGACCTTGTCATCCGCAATCGAGGCCGGCGTATCGACAATGTGGGTCCTTGAAAAACAAACCGTGCCGTGCCGTGCTAAACAAGAGTGTGTGCAGCTTTGTTGGGCTGGGCGAAGACCCCCAAATTCTTGCGATACGCGCTCCCGCATTGTTTGCCCTAATTGCGCAAACTTACCCGGACGTTGTGCGAGCAGTAGTCTGATCTTGATAGTATATAGCTCGAGCCCGTTATTTCAATACATGCAAAGAACATTGGGCATCAGGTCTACGGCCAGCTCTGAGTAGACGGAAATTTTGTACCGGTGTGGCTAATGCTGGTCAGCACGGGGACGTGTCAGGCGGAGGGGAAAAATTCCACCAGGGACTCGACGCGCAAAAATGTCCAGGGCCAGAATCGAACTGACGTCAATCGCGAATTGTCTGTGAAGCGACCACAAGCGAGCATACTAACCACTATACTACCTAGACCCTTGTTTATGAAGTCGAAACACAGTATGTACTCCGCTCGCGAAGTGAACACTCGAACCAATACCTGGTACCAATCGCGCGAAAGAAGACCAACTCAGTGATGGATAGCCCCGGCGGTGTTGATCGACTGTCATATGCATCAACTTTGGGTTTCCCAATAACAACGACTGGTACGTAGCTCAGCCGAACACCCGATTTCGACGTCAGTTCCGATGGATTTTCTGGAATGTCGCTGGAATGATTAGCTTCGGCCACGTTTTAGGCGAACGCCCCAACCCAAGAGTTTAGATGTCGTCTAGGCTGAGCTGAAATCCCGATGTGATTCAAGTTAGAACTCCCATCAAATCTGATTCCTTTGGGGCACGTCCCGCCGCTGTTCGGCCACAGGCCATCGAGGGATGTTTGGCGGATTTGTACAGGTATCTACGGCAAAAAAAAACTAATCGAGGAAGGTCTGTATATGTATATACATCGTTTTCCGCGCTTGATACTTCTTAGCTTCAAAGGACCAAGGGTTGAGCATTGATAGATCGGCGCGCCCAGGCTGAGCCTGGGCGGCCCAGCAGCCAACACGGGAAGCAATGGATCCCGTGACCGATGCGTGGGAATGAGTTCGGCAGCCGTCGATTGCGCCCATGTATTATGTAAGTTAACTACTCTCACTGAGTCTCGGGAACGACAACGACGATCGCGCGTCGGTCCAACGAGAAACAGAAGTATTTCTCAAACTCCCAAGTCTCTTTCTCGTCTCGCATTGCCGCCCCCGGGAACCATCGCAGGACAGACTGTCATTTCTGGCATCGGCCCCGGTGTCAGGGCGAGTGTGTAAAAACGAACTCCAGTTGACATTCGAAGCCGCCGACGGTTCTTTCTCTTGCCGACGGTTCTCTCTCTTCACATTCCTTCTCTTCACATTTGACAGTACGAGGCCTCTTCCTACGAAAAAAAAAATGGATCTCTGCAGAAACTTCCCCAGTACCTGTTTCCGACATCGCCGCATTCAAAGGCTTCACTTTCTCCTGCGGTTCCACTTTCTCCTGCGGGTCTTCTGGGATGGTGGAACCTCTTTTTACCTAATAGGACCCTGGTCGTCGATAAATCAACGCTGTCATGCCCTTGCGCTCCTCACCAGCGCTCCACATCTCCGTGCTCGCACCCAATGCTGTCGGTGATCCCGACGACTGCGTTGAATGATCACGGCAACTGTCCTCCTGGACCGACGATAAATTCGGTGGCATTAATATTCGGGCAACGGGCTTTCGTTTTTCACTTTTCTTTTTTCTTTCCTTTTTTTCGGTCTGCAAAAAAAATGGCTAAACTCCTTGAGTTATATCCATCGACAATCGGTTCATCTCTTCGGTTCTCGTCGACGTTCCTCGTGCCGGTCTCCCGACGATTTCAATACAAGCGGATCGGCATTTACCTTTTTTGGGAAATGCGAGCACCATTTGCGAGGTTTGAGACAGGCCGTTAACCCCAATAATATCTCAACCGCGCTGGGGATTCTTGATTTGCCGCGTTTCATAGGCTAGCGATACCTCTGCGGCTGTCGGCCGGCCAGAAAGAAGTCATTTGAATTCAATTCGTGACCGTCCGTTCCATTATGACCTGAACTGTACTGTCGGCCAGACGCGCCGGGCGCTTCCATCGACTGGTCATCCCGGATTCGTCAAGGAAGCAATTCGTTCTTTACCCTTGTCGTTCCCTTTTTATTATCGCGAATGGCGCCGCCTGCGCGTCCTTTGAAAAGATCGGTGAGATACAATTCCTCAAAAAACACGCATGCCCGCCACTAACTTTCTCTTGCCAGGCCAGCGTGGACGAGCAGGTTTGCGCTCCTCTTCACTGACCTCATTTCCTCTTTTGTGAACATTGGCCAGTCGCCGCCGAACAAAGCGGGACGCTCCACAGGTCCTTCTGAAGGCGAGGCAGATGTCGCCTTTTTTGAGCCGTCTGTGAGTTTCTGTCGTTCCCTGCTTGAACCGGTATCGTGAACTGAGTTTCACCATGCAGCCCGAGGCGGCCGGTGATGTGGTTGCAGACGCCGGACAGGCTCCCAAGGTTGATTCTTCCTTTTGCTCGGTCGTGTCGCAAGTAGTAATTTGTATCAGCCCAATTCGCTGCTGGAAATGCTGCGCCGCCAGGTATGTTATACATCCACCTTGTTTGGGTTGCGATCCAATCCTGTGCAGGCCGCCAGTATCTCAAGTTCGACCTGGAGTCCCTACCCCGCCATCACACGCTCAATTCCGCCGCCGCCTCCAGCGAATCTCGTCGCCCGGACGGGAGTCGAGTTGCCCCTGGTTCCCGGACCGCGGATCGCTATTCCGTTCGCGTCACTCCCGACGCTCGTGCCTGTACGTTCTTTCTCTTTCACTTGCTTGGAAATGCAGGCTCATGCTGTTCTATAGCCCGCTTCGAGCGTGACAAAGGCAAAAAAGGCAACTTGAATGACTGCCATCTGATGCAAAGCTCATGAGTTTTTAGACTCTGGCGGCAATTCATCCGACCCCTGTTACATCGTCTAGCAGGAAATACCAAAACAAAGCAAGTCTCGAGCGCAGCTTTTACTCCAGATGATTCTCATCCCCTCACAGCCATCTGCGTCGACCCCGAAGCCCGCTGCGTTGTCAGGCAAAATCTTCTTGGTATGCCCCATCCTGTTTTGTCATGCGATCTTCACAAATATCGTCGTAGGTATCGTCGACGTCGACTACGGAAACTAAGGGGAAAAGAGCGGTAAGTCTTGAGCTCGCTGTTGTTCAATCCGACTCTTATACAGTCATAAAGACAAACAGATCAAAAACGGAGCAAAGGGTAGCTGTCGACGCTCGACTGTCCTCCGATGTTCTTATACAGTCGCAGGGCTCGGCCTCGACCACAGGAGAGTTGGGTTTGGATCTCGTACCTGCGCGAAAGGTACACAACTATTCTTTCTTGAAATGTCTCTCTCAAACGAACGGTTTCACACAGACGCACCAGCTGAAAAACCTAGACAAGCGGCGGGAGGCCCGCGCCGATCCTGCAACCCGCGCCGCAGCGCAGCAGACCAAAAAGGCCGCCGTCGTAGCCCTCGACGAACCGCTTGCCAAGGAGTGGTCCCAGGACATTCATGCCCTCGCCGATCGGACACACGGCTTCTGGGAGATTGTGACACAGTTCCCGGCTCCCTCTTCCCCGACTATGCTGCGTCGGTTGTTCGAGTTCAACTCTATACAGGACCACGTAGAGCTCTTAGCCTCAAATGATCCTTTCTGGACGATCTTCAACAACCTCGAGACATCTACCATCACATTTCTGTGTGCTTTAGCGCGCGGGCTACGTGAACAAGACATCCAAGAGGCGTTGGATGCCGGGGTTCTACGGCTGAGTCCTCCCGACGACGAGGCACCCGTGATCGGTTCCATCACATACATCAGGGTCGCTACAAACGATACCCCCCTCGACGCGGCGAGAGCGTGCCTGGTAGCCAGCCCCGCCGACGCTCCATGGACCGTATTGCGGCTCTTGGAGCTTGGGATGACTCTCGCAGACGCCGAACTGTGCGTGAGTGAGATCCTCACACCTCTAGGACACAACGGCGCAGTGGCCCCGCTTTTCGATCGACTCAAGGACGGGCTTGCGAAGGTCCCTATCGCTAAGCAATGGACTTGGAGCTATGCAGGCACGTCCAGCAAAAAGCAACCCGCTGGCCGGCATAAAGCCGACGTGCGGAAAGCTTTGAGTAACACGCTTCCAAGCAGGTTTGGCGGTTTTTTACGCGTCAACCCCACCTACCAATGGGATTGCTACGAAATCACCACCTTCCATCTCCCGCATTCGCCAGGAATTCGCTCTGACCCCGTTGCGGGGACCGTTGAGCGGTTCGTCATTGGGTTACAGGGTGGACGGGGGTTGAATTCTGCTATCGGCGGCTTCTATCGGCCGTTTCTACCCGATGATCCGCTCGCAGTGATCATCCAGGGCATCTCCTCCTCATTTCCTGCCCCTCTCTATGGGACGCAATCTACTCCGATCTCGCAGCAGGTCGAGCGCTTCTACGAGGATGAGCGCGCCTTTGTGTTTCATTCAGGGAAGACTCAAATACACGACGATGCCTTCAAAAGCGCAGTCTCAAACTCCGCCGGTGTTTTGCGCTCGAACGGGCACAGTGTTCCATACCTCCGCCTGATGAAAGACCTCACGGTCGAAGAGTTCCTTGAGGGAGGAAAGTCAGTATGGGAGCGCAATGCTGGTCCCGGGCCCCAGCTTTTCAGGCACTTGCAGTGCCTATTTGAGCCCTCATTGCGGCACGGCGGCGATCTCCAGCAAGCCGAAATCGCGCTCCACCTGGGTGCATCAGTCGATTTCTGGCGACTTGTCACTGGTACCCCGGATTATTGGCTTCATTGCCGATGGATGCAACGACTGCTGGAGCAGGTCAAGCCCATAGTCCTTTCGACGTGGTCTAATGGTGTCCTGGCCGCCATTGCGCTGGGATCGTTGAGTCTGGTCAGCGGCGGCATCCCCCTATCGATCGACTTCGAAGTGCAAGCTGGAACGACTCCTTTTCAGCTGGCGCAGTATCTTCCCCCTGCTCACGGAAACCGGAACTGGTATCCTGAGCTGGAAGATGACGCTTACCTCGACGCTATTGGGGGACTCTTCATCACGAAGTACGGACCGACCGCCATCCTGACCCTCCTAATCCCCAATCTTCACCCCGGAGTTTCCAAATACCGTCCACGTGAATCTCACCTAGTCGAAGCAATCGTCGTTGCGGTCAGCGCTATAGAACGCATCGCACTCGGCCATGTTAAGCGCATGCACGAGGATGGTCTAGACCCCGACTGGGCAGACGAGCAGCACCTGCGCCAGTACTACACGCGGCTGAGAGATGCTGTGGAACAAGAGGCCACGGGACGGGGCCTCAGATCTTATCTGGACGCTGTGAAGATGCAGTATCGCGCCCGCACCGGGATCAGCCGTCACCTTGAAAGGCGCCTGAATCCGTCCTCGGT